CCTTTAACTTCCCGTATTTTACAACAGCTGATGCATCAGTGCTTCAAGAAATCTCGGTGTCGCCGAAAAGCGCCATAAAATTGCACATTTTGCAATATTGTTGTCTTGTAGTAGCTTGTCGGATCACGTACCACATTGCATCGCTCGCCCAACACCTCGTTATGCGGGCCATTTTTAATTATCTGGAGCATTTTTTTAAAGCGTTTGTTCTCAATGGATTTGTAAGGTAATGCATTAAACAGCACATTTTTACTGTTAACACGCGAACAATTTTGTGGCGGTCTCCAGAACAATACGAAACTAAAAATAAACAAAATAACAACATGGGCTAATATATTATCGGTGTGTTACTTCATGTTCCAAACGAAAGTAACGTGTTTACTTTGCTTGATCGTTGTTTTGTATCGCCGCTGAACGGATAATCCAGATTAAGTATTACAACGCAGCGTACAACCTAGGGCTATTATATTAAGGCAGTGTCGTTAAGATACTTATTTTTTGTCTGCATGCCATATTGCAGGCTGATATTGCTTGAGGTTGTTGAGGATATACAGACTGCGGTGGATGTTTTGTTGAGGGTGTAAGTAGTGTTTAAGATAAAAGTGTGCCTACGTTGAGGAATGATGCGGTTAAACATATGTCATACAGATCAGAGAATGAGAAGGTCCATACTCGGAATTTTGGGTAGACAATATGCCTTGTCAGAATTGTGCAATAGACGACACGTTTGAGGAATAATTCAATATATCTCCACATCACGATGCTTTTGTTGCGATGATACTTGTTAAATTCACTACCCTATGAACAAGTATATGGTCTGAAAGGGGTATAACAAGTCTCCTAAAATAATTTATCATATTTGTCTCAGCTGTAGCTGCCATGTCGTCAGTCGCTTAGTGTTCTGAGATGTAACAGAGCTAAAATAATTATCTGTCCACCGCCAGGCGGATAAAAGGCCCAGAAATTCGGCTCAAGATATTTGGCAGTATCATCTTAAAACTGGCTGCAAGCGTATGCTACTGCTCAGCTTGAATATTGCGGTCTTCTCGCAATCAAGACAGAGCCTCTCAGTCGCAACAAGGGTGCCCTGCCCCTTCAGCATGCCTGTTTCCACCATGGTCAGGCACTTTGCCGTGCCAGAGACCTCCACCATCCAAGGACTCTGCAGCATGGCAAATGGTGGGGCCTTCTCTCAATCGTTATGGGACTTTCGCCGTGTTTTTTTCTTCATCATACACTATCCTTAATTATTGAGGCCCCCTGTCGTTCACGAGAGGCCCTACTCCTAGATATCAATGGGACACTCTCGTAATCAGAACGGGTATCCCCTGTTGTACAGCGGCTGGAAGTCATCCATTGTATCTGTCTGACCGAGCTGCCCACTGCACCATGTAGGGGCCTGCTCTCGATCAAAGCAGGGGCCTACTGACGCCCTCGACCCTTAACCACCGAAAATGTTTGTTTTATTGTAGCCTGCCGCATTTCTGTATGATAGTGGCCCCACGCAGCACAATCCTTCCCGACCAGACCCGAACCCGCCATGAATGGGACGTCCTGTAGATGATAACTACGTTACGTCATGACTGGGCATTGTGACATCATCATTATGCTGACTGCGAGCGCCAGACCTGTGACGGTTTTCTAGTATCCTTAAATTCCGCGGTGGCCCAAAGCATTCGCGCGCTGAAGGTGTCTCACGACAGGGTGGTCGAAGCTGGCGTCAACGGTTTACCGAGAACCACACTTCATCTGGTTATCATCCGGGTTGAGGGGGGCTGAATCACATCGCACGACCCGTCTCCATTACAAAACTTATTTCACCGCTCACCACTCCTTGTAATCCTGCATGACTAATTGCTGATCTGGCGTGATCGCTTTTGGCCATGGCCGCGTGACTCAGCGCTGCCTGTGTTTATTGTCATTGACGGATGTTTACCAATTAGTCAGAACTGTCCGAGGCCAGTGTATGCCCACGCCGTTACAATTACCGAGGCCGTGTCGCGGGATGCGTTTCCTTGCGCCGCCGACAATTACCGCTGGCGTATCTAATGAGCCGTGCTTTGATCTCAGGCGGCTTTCACCAGCTCTCGGTCGGCGCTCTGTGAGCCGGCGCGCCGTGCGGGTTAAACCAACATTCCGAACGTGCACGGATCAGCTGGAGACATGACCGAATCCGACAGTTCTGCCTCACGCCGCTTGTTTTGATTATGGTACCAGAATAGGGCAATCTGCTACGGATTTCTGGTGGCGGCATCTCGCGCTGAAAGAGATCAATCAGTTCCGGTTTTCTCTGTTGCGCTACTGAGTCATTATTAATGCCGGACCCAGCAGACCCTGACGTGCATCTTCGCTCACATCAGTCGGCACATACGTTGCGTTTGTAGATGGAGGTCACAATCATTGGCGGGTTCAGTGAGCATAGTTTTCGTCATGTTAGAGATACGGCAGACTGTAGAGATTTTGAACAGCCAGGCTCATGCTTATTCTTTTTTATACCGTGCACGCTCCGTTCATAATCTTATGTTTCATCGTCGCTCCCACCCATTTTCTCCAAATTTTAAGCCATCACTTTGCAGATAAATGTCGACGGAAAATTCAAACTGCTGAACAAAGTCACATGAATCAAAACGGACATTGGAGCTTACTACGCTTGCAGCCTACTTATGTTTCAGTAACTGTTAGTCACTTCGTTTTTGGGACGTACTGAAATTGTACATGGCTCCCTCCTCATGCGACGCTAGAAAAAAAACGCACGCAGCAAGAAATACAGCATAACCGAATGGTTCATAGCGTCCATTTCACTGTTCAGTTAACAAATAGCAGATGACTCGCCAGCCCAGACCGTCAAGCTCGCGCAGGGTGTGAATTCCCCGGTGAGGAGGTGTCCTGAACGTGACTCCGACTGGCCAAAGCTGGCAAACATACGAATTGTTGTTGAGGGTAACCAGCGGCCAAAACTGAAAACAGATGCTACTTTTTCGTTGTCTGGTGATGTTACTCTCTCTGGTGTTTGCGCTGCTACACTTTTCTTCCATGCTGGCGTGACGGTTTCAGTGGTGGCACTTTTCATGTGAGCCGATTCGCAGAATCCTCTCGAAATTGACCCACCACACCGCAATGCGCTGCAGTAAGCCAACGCGATAATGACCGGAATTTTGGAGGTACAGTTGGGAACATTTCCATTTTGGCTGGAAATGTAGACGGTATTTGACTTTCCCGTCGCCCACAATGAACGCAAGCACTCTCTGGCTTATGGATATGCCATACATGGCATGTGCCCCGTACTGCATGACGACATTCAAAGCGTTCCCGACATGTTTCTGACCGACCGCGAAGGTTTTTTTTAACTCTTTGTCCGCCTCCCGGTTGCAAACTGGGGTGGTGTCTCTTCCAGAACCTGATACCGGCTTCTCTTAGCGCTTTGCCAACGTCAGCTTTACTATGCCAAATGGGCTTGCGATAACTCACTGAAAGGCTTTCACTGCTTTCGTTGCAACCTTTACCAGATCCGCCCCGCTGCGTTTGCTCATTTTACGTCGTGCGAGGCGCCGCCTCTTCTTCGAAGCGTTTGGCCCATCGTATGCGGTTGTCTTTGCTGGCCCCCCCCCCCCTTAACATGAATATTCAGATGCAGGTGCTCCGTGGTCTGAGATCTGTGACTTCGTGTACCCACATCGTGGGAGCTGCAATGTTGTGAAGAGCACACCAACCATGACGGTGTTGAGTGTGTGCATTGGCATGACGTCACAGAATCTGACGAAAATATCACCCCTTGAATTTCTCCCCAAATAAAGTGGCATAGAGCCGCTAGGTTCATCACTTAGAACCCTCGGTGGACGGAGGGCACACATCTTCCCAATCGATCGTTCTGAGACCAAAGAGAACAAGTGACTGCCGTCGTGAAAGTGATGTTGCGGATATCGCACCTATTCATTGACCTATGACGTCATCTCTAAAGGCTGGTAGAACAATGCTTACGGCACGTAAAATTCGTGATGCCACATATAAAACCAGTAACATGAAATCCGCATTAAAACATTTTAAAAGCAAACAGGTCACTTTGAATCGCTCGAAAAAGCCTTCGAGATCAAGCAAGGTCAGGAGCCGTTTCTAACCTGGATTTACCTCATTTTCGTTCCAGGCCAGCATTTTAACCTTGATCTGACTGAGAGGGTCATTTTCCCGTTTCACCAAAAGGGGTTGCTTTGTACTTTTCGGGAAGCCCTATTTTGGCGCTTCTTTTCCCATGCAGTAAGGTGGACATTATTTGGGGTCGAATGCCAACGGGAGAGATCAAACCGTTCGCTGCTGGATTTCTCACACGTCAAGTTATGCCTAGATATTGCTCTCATGACAGTAGCACAATAATGGGCCCAACGATGAAGCATGCTTCACCATCTGTTCGCTAGCCGCTCGAGTGAAAATGACTCCATCGATGCTGACTATCTATCGATTTGTGCCAGGCATTGTCGTCTGCGCCATAAAGCCACCTGTACGGAAAAGACACGTTATAATTTCCTACGAGTCATAACCGCATACACGAATTTATCTCAATATTTTCGACATGTGCCAACGGCGTTCCGCGTCGAAAAGAAAGCTGTTGGAGTATGTGCGGAGTCCAGCGAATGGTTAAGTTACTGGGGTATGTCCGCAGTCCACCGGATGGTTAAGCTATTGGAGTATGTGCAGAGTCCAGCGAATAGTTAAGTTATTGGAGCACGTGCGCAGTCCAGAGGACGGTTAAGTTATTGGAGTACGTGCGCAGTCCAGCGGATGGTTAAATTATTGAAGCATGTGCGCAGTCCAGCGGATGGTTCAGTTATTGCAGTATATGCTGAGTCCAGCGGATGGTCAAGTTATTGGGGTGTGTGAGCTGTCCAGTGGATGGTTCGTTAGCGACTGGCCAGTCTGGCTTCGTGAGAAAGCCCGCTAGCCCCACCTTCAGCCTCGTCGCTATCGATGTGGAGTGTTATCAGCCCGCGTGTACCTATGTTCGGCAGATGCTGCAGCAGCGGCAGCGGCGGGGCCAGGAGCGGGCTCAGCAGCCGCTGCCGGCTGAGCCGCTGCGTCTGCCGCATCCGCTGATGCTGTACCCGCTGCTGAGCGGCGCAATGGCCGGAGCAGGCTACGCCGCGCCGCCAGAGGGGTTCAACCTCCAGCCTCCGGCCTCCAATCTCCTGGTGAGGGTCCCGCTCACCCAGTAATGGCCCTGTTCACCCGGCGGGGGCCTTGTTCACTTGGCGATGATCCTGTTCACTCGGTGGGGATCCCTCTCTCGGGAAGGGTCCTGCTCACCCGGTGAGAGTCCTGCCCATCCAGCGAGGGTCCTGTTCACCCGGTGAGGGTGCTGCTCACCCGGCGAGGGTGCTTTTCACCCGGTGAGGGTCCTTTTCACCCGGTGAGTGTCCTATTCACCCGGTGAGAGTCCTGCTCACCCGGCGAGGGTTCTGCTCACCCAGCGAGGGTCCTGCTCACCCAGCGAGGGTCCTGCTCACCCGGTGAGGGCCCTACTCACTCGGCGAGGGCCCTACTCACCCGTTGAGGGTCCTTTTCACCCGGGGAGGGTCCTGCTCACCCGGTGAGGGTCCTGCTCACCCGGCGAGGGTCCTGCTCACCCGGTGAGGGCCCTGCACACCCGGCGGGAGTCCTTTTCATCCGATGAGGGTCCTCTATGATCACATGGCACCTGGTGGGACTCATCTGCGATAATCTGGTGAAGCGTTACGTGAGAGTTCATATAGGGATGTAAAATACGCACTTCTGTGCTGATCTGAGTGGGGGTGGGCAGTGGACGGACAGGCAGTGAGCGGTGGCTCGACGGGCAGTGGACAGTGGTATGGATAGTCAGTGGATAGAAGCTCGATAGTCAGTGAACAGTGGCTGGATAGTCAGTGAGTAGTGGCTGGACAGTCAGTGACTGGTGGCTCGACAGACAGTGGTCAGTGGTTCGACAGTCAGTGGACAGTGGATGGACAGTCAGTTGTCAGTGGCCCGAAATGCTGTAGGTACGATTAGTCATGATGTTAGAAATGGTGCTAACGTGAACCAATTTGCGTCCCCTGTTCGCAGCGAAGTGATTCGATCACGTAACAGTCAAAGTCTGCCGTGGCTTGCAGGTTGTAATGGGGCCAAGAATGGATAAGAGCCTGATTAGTGACCACGAATGTCCAGGAAACTTAAAAAGTTTGCCCTAACGAACATATGAATTAGTACCGCTTATCTCCCTGTTGTTGGAGCACCGACCCCAGTCAGGCGGGCCTGCTGAGCAATGTTGTCCGCTTCAGGCGTGCTCGTGGACTTCTATACCCCCGACAGCAGAGCGGCCTGCAGCCACCCAGCAGGACGGACCCCTCAACCTCACGAAGCGGAAGCGGTCGCCGCCGCCGCCGCCGCCCGCTGACTCGGATCGTCCACCAGCGCCTCCCGACCAGCCGCTCCTGCCGACGTCTCTCCTTCCGTACGGCCTGGTGACACTACCGGCCTCCCCTGCCGACTGTAAGTGAACTCGGCCGCCCGCGTCCCGGATCACCGCGGCCAATGTGACGGCTTTGTCGAGCCGGGAGTCAGCAAAATAATTTTCTAGAAAACAGACCTCCGGCGTATCTCGATTTAAGCTGCAGAATAGGTCGATAAGATCTGCCATTTGCTATTTTACTTCGAATACACAGGCTTAGTTGTTCGTCATGGTTTTTATCTGCGAAAACATTCTGGTCCCGATATTCGCCTTTGCTCTGCCATGCGTGTGATTGGCTGTTGGGAGAAGACATAAGCATTTAGTGCTCGTCGTCGGCCGCCTCGACAGACCCGCTGGACCCGGCCTCGTGTTCACGCTCTGGCTCGGCACTGGTGGGCCAGCCGTACGGGGAAGGCCTGCCGCTGCACATGCTGTACCCGCCGGCCAGCCTCTTCGGCTGCCTGACGCTGACGTCACCGACGGGCGTGACGTCACCCATCATGACATCACCGGTGGCCATGGACGGCGGGTCGCCGGCGGAGACCACCTGCACATGTAGGTGGCTTCCCACCCACAGAACCCGCGGCTGGACAGCGTGTCAGCTCCGGCCTGGTGTCACCGGGCAGCATTCTGCTCTAATTTGAAGATCTTTCTGCCAATGATGTGTCAGAGACCTGGCTGATCTGCGCCCGCAACTGCACAGACCTACGTTATGTTCTGGCCTCGCATCGATTGCGAAAAGGCAAATTTCGTGGGAGCTTCGAGTACTTGATGCATGATTTTGCGGCAAGTTTTGGTAGTCCGCCGAACAAACTTAG